TTGGAGGTGGAAATGACTGAAAGAAACATCTGAACAGTATTCTGATCAAAATGCAGTTCTGTATTGAAAACAATTGCACAAAGAAAATCTACACTAGTGCTTCCTCAACTTGTATTTGTGTACGTTCAGCTGAGTTGTCCTACTTGCACTGAACACTAAATAGAGTCTCTCCTATGAGGCTGTTGGAAAAGTATATTTCTTCTGCCTAAGAACAGGGAGTCCTATTGCTGGGCAATGAGAAAATGGTGTGGGAAACAAGGTACATGAAGATTCAAGGTCCTCTTTTGCATGCACTTAAAATAAGGTTGAAAACTCGCACTGGTTTACAGTGCAAGCCTGTGCATGTTTAGTCAGGAGCAGCCCGCTGAAGAAAGCTCTACTGAGTTTACTGGGACTTACTCTCAGCCAGATATATATAACTGCATCTAAAATGAATGATTACCATCCCAAATGGTCACAGCAGATCTAGCTTTCCTCTCAACCTCCAGCAAAACTTTAGTGTTTCATAAAGATAATATTCCTAGGAGAGGGATAAGTTCTTCTAAGTCTTATGAGATAGCCCAAAGTGCCTGATCCTGCGTAATCTTGAAAGCTAAGCAGGATCAGGTCTGGTTGAAGTCTGGATGGATGACTTGAGTCCTGCATTGAGCTGCATTGGTTGGACCAGATGGTCTTCCAACTGCACCTCTCACTCAGGGCCTTGTAAGACCCATGAGGCTTCCCCACCTAGTCCTGGCCCTGCTCTCCACACCACCACAACAAAGGAAAAGGCTCTTCTCTCCAGTGAGCACCTGATTGGATACAAGTGCATTTCCAGGCTGAGCAATGCAAAGGCCTCTGCTTCTAAGGGTTTAGCAAGGAAAAGCATCTATCTCTACTCATCAGATGATTGGAGAGGAGAGCTTTTGTGCGGTGGGCCAGGGGCAGGAGCTGTTGAGTGATTTCTTCTTGCTTCCTCTGTGTCTGGTCCTGTGAGCCTTGTCCAAGATAAGTCTGAGTATATGCACGGGACGGAAAGTGGAGGGACCAGCTGTCACTTTCAACAGCAGCCATGCATTAGACACCATCCCCAGTTTGGACTAAGGTCTACAGGCCCAGTAAGCCAGACACAGATAAATGCATTCCTGAGGAGAAGTCACAGATGGATTAAAACCCAATGAAGAAGCAAAATGATGCTCCTGCTGCCTTCAGTAAGTGATGCATCTGTTTTTAGAAGAGAACATCAAGATATTCCTGGGAGGAAGGAGCTATTGAGCAGGTAGGCAATGATTTTTTTAAAAAAATACATTTATATTGTGTCTCTCAAAATAAAAGGATCTGCAGAAAGGCTTCTAAGCTATAGCCTAAGCATTGTGGGTAGTGGGAATCTGTGGTGGGCCTGGGTAACTCACTAGGCAGTCTCCTCCAACCTGGTGTCCTCCAGATGTTCTGCAGTACCACTCTGGTATTCTTCACCATTGACCAAGCTGGCTGAGGTTGATGGGAGTTAAGGATCAAAATACCTAGAAAGCCACAGGTTAGAAACAGCTGGGCTAGTGTGAGATCTGTACTACTACCCATACCATGGCTTGGCACATTAGAGGCAAACACAGTCCAAATCATGAGGAAGTCACAGTGGACTGGGCTTGTGACACACTTGCCAAAAAGAGATTTGCCTTCATTGAGTTAAACAGAATGGGTCAGGTTTTAAGGAGAAGTGCACACATCTAAAATATTTAACCAATCAACAAGAACCTGATTCAAACCAGATTAAAAATCTCATTCTATGTAGGACAAATTTCCAAGAGAAGAAAGGCTTACCCCACACTGAAAAGATGATGCCGCCTCATCAAAGAGATTATTCTAGAATTGGTGGGCCACCACTGAGAAGGTTCTCGCCCATGTTGCTGCTTTCCAATCCTCCCTTGGAGGAGACATCTGGAGGAAGGCCGTAGGTGATGAATGTCGCATACAGAGATGCAGTGGTCAGAGACTCTGGCAGGTACTGCAGTCCCAAGCCATGTATGACTATATAGTTCAAAGCTAGTACCTTGAACTGGGCTTGGAAATATGCAGGCAGCTAGTGCAAAAGGGGCAGAATTGGTGCTATATGTTCAGAACCTATGGCCTTGTGCAAATGGCAGCTTCTGAACCATTTTCAAAACATACACATTGCAGTAATCTAGTCTGGATGTCACCAGAACAGAAGACAACAAAAGCCAGGATGTCCCTGTCCAGGTGGGGGTTTGGGCTACTAAACCCATCCAGAACAGATTGAGCATCTACCATCTCTCAGAAGAGCCACTCACTAACAATCCCACAGTTTTGTTTCAATTCACCTTTCCCTTTCCCACCCCCCAAACGGCCCCTTGGCTCAAAAGCTCACTCTGTTTCATTTCTGTTAGAAATGATATGCAGCATTGTTGATTTAACTACCCTCATTTGCCTCATCTATGATATTATCTGTTCCCGGATACAGGTATGCATATCTATAGGATAGCTGAACTCACTAGGCACCAAGGCAAACCAAGGAGGAAACAAAGCTTAGTTTGTGGGGCTTATACTTTATTGGTTAATCATTACCAAGTTTTGGAAAGGAAGAAAAAAGAACAGCCTTCTTTTGGCAGAGGCCCAATTCTTAAAAGGATGACTGTGTACCATGATCATTTACTCTCTGAAACTGGACTGGCTCTGGGCCCATCATCTCCTTTGTGGACCAGATCTGATAGGCTGTTAAATCAAAGGAATGGTTTTTTCACACCTGTTTTCCCTTGAAGGCCTGGTTGGATGACTAATCTTCCTTTTTTTCTGCTCCATCAAAAACCCTTGCAATAGAGGTTTACATCTTGCCTAATGAGTGCATTGTCAGTGCCAATTAACTATGATAGCCTTTTTATGGACTTTTCAGTGAACAGCATATTTCTGGCTTGTAGGCCATGTTGCAAACAGTCCTCCTGGAAGTTTAATTTCAATTAGGAGACCCTATGAACAAACATTATCATGACATTTGCCCAAATAGCTACTTTAAATCCCAGGGTCCAAACTATTCAACTGAATTGTAATAATTTGAGTCATCTCATCTCAAATCTAGTTCTTATTTGCACCATGTCAAAGCTTTCCTACACCTTCTTGAAAGAGCTTTGTGCTGATGACAGGCCAATAGATTTATCATGTAGAAGGAGCTGTTGTGCTAAGCTCAGAAAAGAAGCAAGTTTTATCTGCCCAGAACGTAAGGGAATAACATAAAATGGGCATCTCAAGTGTATTCCTTCAGCAACATTTAGAAGCCCACTCTAAGCACAGTCCTGCAGAACTAACAGATGTAGGGCAGGCAAGTGCACAGAGGTAAAGCAAGCACTTGCTTCAGCAGATGTGCCGGATGAGGGAGACCCTTCCCTGAATAAAACAGCCCTGTTTGCCTGTGGCAGAGCAGCTGCTTTGCAAGCAGGAGGTCCCAAGTTCAATCCCCCAATTCTCCAGATAAAGCAAGGAAAATTCTGCCTGACACTCTGGACAGCCGCTGCCAGTCAGTGTTGACAGCACTGGGCTAGATGGGCCAAGGGTCTGACAGCTTTCTAGGATCCTAATGAATGATAAGTAAAACTTGGGCAGCAATGTCCCACTTGCCTAGGACAGGTTGCCAACTTTGCTGCTGTAGCTGAAGTCTCTGTTTGTAGATGGCTGCACTTGGAAGCTGCCCTAGAAGCAGGACCATTGTCTGAAACAAGCAAAGCAATAAGCCAAATAATTGACACTGGAGAGAACTGCATACACTATGACTTCCCAATTTTTGTAGAACAGGGCTTCAGACTCAACAATGAGTAATTGTTGTGAGCTGCACAGGCAGCTTCAGCCATTGGGCGGTAGAGAAAAGAAATAACTTCATGAACGCGAAATCAACTAATATTGCGCACTAAAGGGATTGGGGAAAAGACGAGAGAACTGTTCGAAAGTACCTGATTAACAGCGAAAGTAATATAACAGGCGCGTGTGGTTCTTGGATACTCCCTAACTGAAAAAAACAACATCTACCCTAGGGGATTTTTCTCATTCGCTCGTTGCTCGCTCTTTTGGGATGAACCATCAAAGAAAAAAGAAGGGGAAAAACCTTCATGACTGTGGTTTAGTTCGAAGCCCTACATTAAACCCCATCAGGACGCCTCAGCTTTCATTGCAAAGCCAGAAGATACCATTCCCACTCCACTGACCACAAATGGTAACGTTTGCAATGACCTGCAAAAATGTATTTTATAAATCAGTCAATCTTCGGCAACACAGTCTAGCGAGATTAGAAATTGGTTTGTATTTTGGGAGTTTATTATAATGGAACGGGACAAAATGTGGCGTAATTTATACACATGCCTCTACTCAAATCAAAACCTAGCAAGTGACTTCTTCCTTCCAAGAAGTCGAGCACAGACCATTTAATCCAGTCAATCTTTCGAGACCTGTATTTTTATCTTCCTAACATTCCCCTACGTTCTATGCCCGATCGTAAATAAGGTTTTTTTTCACAAAGTCGTTTGCAATTTTACTTTGTTGGACTGTTCAAATGCTGTCTGGAAAAGCTGTTTACTGTTGCAAAGGAGAAGAAAAAGCCCAAACGCAAGAATACAACCCTCCACTTCTGTGCTTGCACTAGTTCCCGTAAGTGCTGTTTAAAAAAAAGGGCAGCAGCAGCAGCAATGGTGATAACAAAAACTGCCATCGCAAAGAAGCGGCCGTCTCCGACTGCAAACAAAGAGAGCAGAGAGCTCTACGTGGGCTGGTGTCATGTTACCCACCCATCTCTTTAAATCTCTAGATACGGCCTTCCTTTCTCTCGCTCCTCTCCCCCACACAGTCGTGACGGACAAGCAACACTATCCAATAGCAAGGACATAGGCCTTTTGGCGCCTTGCCACACTTCGCTCTCTATCCAATGAGAATAGTCAAGAGGTGGAACGACGCCCTGGGTAGAATGGAGCGTCTACCAATAGCAGGAGTGTTATTGCAGAGAAATAGTATTATGCTAATCGATGTTTTGCTCGAACTCACTTGGTGAGCGCTTTAAAAGAGGCAACCAGGCAGGCTGTTACAAGCAGAGCCAGGCTCGGAGGGTAGGTAGGTACGTGGAGTGAACTCGGGCGCAGGCAGGTTGTTCTGCCAGTACGAGCGGCAAGATCCCTGCTTTTGTGTCCAGCGCTGTGATTTGGATTAGCAAAGGCTCCCGGACCCCCTGCCCTTCTCCGCCTCCCTGGGCGAAGGAAGGAACCTGCGCGCTCCTTGCTCCTTGCCTCCGCCGCCACCATGTCCAATGTGCACCTCTCAAGCGCCTCGGCTCTGGAGCGCCTGGCCGCTCGCCGGACTTTCCCCGTGCACGCCCGTACCGGGGTGTGCAGGAATCTCTTTGGTCCCGTGGATCACGACGAGCTCAACCGGGAACTGAAGGGGAAGTTGCAGGAGATCTGCGAGGACGGCCAGAGGCGCTGGGACTACAACTTCCAGACCGAGACGCCGCTGCCTGGCTCAGGCAGGCTGCAGTGGGAAGAGGTGGAGGCTGATTCCGTGCCTGCTTTCTACCGGGAAACGCTGCAGGTTGGGAGGTGCCGCTTCCCGGTGCTGGTGATTCGGTCGAAGCCTGGCAGCGCGGAGGCTCCTCCGGAGATGGAGCCCAGGGACTCTTCCCAGGAGACAGGGCTTTCTTCTTCGAGCCCCTCCCCTGTGAGCCCTCAGGGCAAGACGGCCACCTTAGAAAGCAGTATGTCGGCAGCCGCGGGCGAGGAACGCCTCAACCAGGAGAACCGGGCCGATCCACTCAACAACTACTCAGGGATTACAATCAAGCCTGTCCCATGTGCCGCTGCGGCTCTGAAAAGAGCATCGTCCACCAGTGTAGCTCACATCACAGGTAAGCACGGCCGCCATCGGCTTGCGTTGCACCGGCGGGGGTGGGGTGGGTTCTACTCCAGACTGGCCCTTCCCGCATTAAAGCAACGTTTCCTACATTTGCAGGGGGTGAGTGTCGCTTCCCCCCACAAGTTCCTAGTCTGATGCGTGCCCTGGTGGCTGTATAGGAACGTTGCCTGGAGGCGCTGGCGCTGCTTAAGATTCCGCGCAGGTCCCTGGGGCTGGGCTGGGCTGGGCAGGAAAATGCTTACGCAGCACCTCGCGCTCTGCAGGCGAGCCCTTCGCCGCCACTGCAGCCTCCTTAGGCGACGTAAACAAACCCGGCCAGCTGCAGCCCTACTCGTTGGCGGCAGGGGGAGCCAAGAGCCCGGCGGCGGCTGTGCGCGTAGTAGCCAAGCAGGGCGGGTCGCTTGTGCGCGAAGCGATTGTTTTTCTGCTGGTCCCGACTTGGCTGGGGTGTGTCTGCCTTTCAGACTGAAGACTTTTGGCTCAAATGACCTCCTTAGAACAGCACACACGAACACACTAATTTCTTTTCTCCCCCTTCCTCTTTCTCCTCCCCCTTCTTTCTCCTTGGCTCCGATTCCTAGATTTCTTCGCAAAGCGGAAACGGATCATAGACCCGAGAGATCATGCCAGCGCGTTGCCAGCGTCTGTCACTGCTGTCCCCTCTGAGCAGACACCCCGGAAAAGGCTCCGATGAATGAGGTGAGCGAGCGCTTGCTGGCCCTCCCCGCCCTTCTGCACCTCGACCTTTCCGCTGGGCTTTTATTGTTCAAGGGAAGCTTGAACGGTGGTGGAGGAGCCTATTTCTGTTCTGCGTTAGTATGGAACTCGGGGGTGGAGAGGGGTCTTAAGGTAGTTACTCCAACTTGGTCGGCATCTAGAATTTCAGGGGTGTGGTCTCGTGTGCGACGGAGCCACGGGGTGGGGCCACTTGCAAAACTGGCCGGGATTGGCCGGGAATGGCGCTTCTTGCCTAAAAATAAAAGCAGTGGGCTGACACTTGCGAGAGAAGCGGTCAGCTAGGGGTGTGTCTGCTCGCTTGTTTTCCCGCTTGCCTGTGCAGCTCTGGAGTAACTTCCTGATGGTCCAGTACTGCGTGGCGTAAAAGCGAGGCACCCCTCCCGAGCTCTCCTGGCTGGGCAGCTTTTGCTGACTCATCTGCTGCTTTGAGGGGAGGGAAGACCGGGAGAGGCGGCCAGGGACTTGCGACGTTCCTTTGTATTGAGCAAATGGCGGGGGGGGGGCAGAGTTCTCCGAAGTGTCAGAATTCCGGAATGTGAGAACTGCGGAGACCGCTCTTGTAGGTTGCCCACAGGAAGCAATGCCCACAGGAAGCAAACGCCCCGAAGCACGTCGGCCCTTAATCAGGTTGTGCGGTTCCCACCCTTTTGCTGTACTTCGTGCCTCTTTTATGGGTTTCATATTCCGTTGTAACTCCCCCCTGCGTGACCTCCGACAGGTGTCTGTGCAGGTTGACTAGTGGTGATCTTCTTTTGCAGATTTTGCACTATGTAACACCGAAGTGATTGTTTCCTTGGAAACACCAGAGCTTCAGAGAGGCCCTTCCTCTCTGCAGGTCAAAGGGAATGGCGAGAGAGACCAGAGTATGAAAGAAGAGTGGCCTGATTTTTTTCCATGTGTATGTTTTTTGCTTTTGGTCCTCTTCTGCTCATGCCCCAGAAGGAAGTGCTTGTACCTCCATGTAGCAAAAGTGGCTGCTGACCAGCCACGTGACGGAGCAGTGTTAATTTACAACTGTGCAATGTATTATGTGTTATATATAAAAAATGTATTATGCCTAATGTGAGTACACTGGCCAGAAGTGTAAAAGCTTTAAAGTCACTTATATAAATGTTTAATCTCTGCTGATTTCTCAGTGCAAAAAATGTATATTTGTAAAAAATAAAATAAAAATACAAACAACTTAAGAGTTATACTAACTTATATTTTCTATTTATGTCAAAAGGCGGATAACTTCGGTTGACACCCCGTAGTCTGTTCTGTGTTTTTGGTTTTGTTTCTTATTTGGTTAAGCCAAAGGGCACTATATATTTGCTTTTGTTGTTGTTATTTACAAAAATGTAAAATTATTTTTATAGTGGGTTTTTTGCATTCACAAAATGTAGCTATGAATCAAAATTACTTTAGTTATTACTTGAAAAAACTCTGATAACAATGGTTCCTGAGCCGGTCTGTACCACTGCCATTGCAAATTTATGCCACATTGTTAAAATAAAAAGGAATCCAATGTCAATTAACCTTCGTGTCTGTAGCTTTTCTCCTTCGGTGCTTAAAACAGAACAAACACACCTTTATTTTCTTTGGGTTTTAAAAATTACAGCACAATTGCTAATATTACACAACAGCTGTTTGTTCCTTATGTAATAGAGGTCCATCCGTTTCTGCCTGCTCTGGATGAAATCCAGCTGTGTTCATCCACCGACAGAATGGTACCCCCCCCCCCACCGTTCTAAAATCTGCTCTGGAAGGCTGGGGGGACCTCCAGAGCAACACAATGATGGACAGGAATTTGATACTCATATGAAAGTAAATCTAGCCTGTAATCCTAGGCATCCCTGTTTGGGAGCTTGCATAAAATTGTACGTGCATAAGAAAATTGCATGCAGACTGTTATGCAGCAATTTTTACAGCAAGGAGAGTAACTTAAGTGACACTACTCTTCCCCAAGATCAGCACTACAACTGCTCCGGAGAGGCTAAGTCCCACAGACATGAGTCTGCTAGATATAAGTGTATTTCCAGCTAACTCAAACCCTGTGGTTATTAAACAGTCCATTCTCTGAACTATGTCCAGCTACTGATTACCATTTGGGGATGGTAAGGAGGGCTGCTGCATCTATTACTCTTTCATTTAACTGGCTGTAAACTGTTCCGAGTTGGGAAGGTATAGAAAAGTTAAATAATTCGGACTACAAAAACTAGTCTAACCTCCAAAGTTATTAACTCCCAGTTGTGCCTTACCACAGAGAACATACTTGAATTGCAAATATGTGGGAATGCCATTTTTTTCTAGGATAGAGATAGATATTTTACTCCCATCAATTTACTGTAAATTGGCTACAAAGACTGCTTGAAAAGTTGGTTGCTAACCCATTCCTCAGATGTGTCTTCAAGAATGGAAAAGGGATGCAAAGTTAGAAGGACTCAATGCCATACAATGCATTCACTGCTGCTTCCTCCCCAGCTTGAAAAGGTGGAATCTAGGTGTGGGATGCATTTAGAGATTCTGTCTGCTTTGTTGACAGAACAGCTACCTTAATGGAGGGGGAACTTTGTGTCCCATGGCTTCTCAGAAAGATTGGTTTTACTGTCTTTGGGTTGTATCCAGTGGTATTTTATTCACCAGTGGAGTGATCACTGGCAGAACAGAGTCCCCCTCTCCTTGCAGTCCACCAAATCTTTTCCAGAGCAGCGAAGTTGTAAGTCTGTATCCAACCCAGTATGTCCTCAGGTCGGTGAGCTTTGGCTAGCAGCATTTCATTTCTGCATTAGAATAGCAAACAAGCACTTGTATGCTCCATAGACCAGTAGTAATTGTACTACTTTATAATTTAATTTCAGGTATTTTTTGTTTTTGGATTGTAGCATTAAGACAAGAAAAATGAGTGTGTTTTGATTCAGTGAGCTCAAGGGAGATTTTTCCATTGATTTCAGTCAAAAGTGGATTGTACTTTAACTGAGATACTGCACATTCAAGTAATCTTGCTGTTCATTCTTAAGAAAAGAATTGCTGTTGCTAATTATCCACGAAAAAGAATTCAGAGATGTAGCCATGTTAGTCTGTTGCAACAAAAACAACAAATATCTTGTAGCACCTTGAGGACAAATCTTATTCTAGCGTAAGTGTTGTGGACTAGAGCAGTTTGTCATCAGATGAAAAGGTGTAACAAGAAACTTCAAGAGCCATTTTACCCTCTTGCTACATAGACACCATCTTCTTGCAGAGAAGACCATGGCTGATAGGACCTTCTTAGGTACCTCCATTTCCACTGACATGTGCCACACACCTCACATACAACTGCAAGGATTTGAACTGGCAGATTAAATCTCCTAGTGACCTGTTATTTATGGATCACTGGCATGATAAACCACAGAGGTTCTTCTGCTGTGTCAATGCACTCAGGGAGCCCTTAATCCTTAACACAATAGCTGAGAGCCATTCTGGTCTTGTCCACAATAGTTATATCTTTACAAAATATTGCATCTGCTGTGCATGCCTCAAAAGGATGCCAAAGAATTACCTCTCTTCAATCTTTCTGAATGTTAAAATCTTGGCCTTCAATAGAAACTTGTCCTATTCTCCCACTCCACATGCACACACATTAAGATAAATATCTTTAAAGTTATGATCCTATGGTCCTTGGCAATAAGTTCCAGTGAAGCTGCATTTAAGATTGCCAAATAAAGACCTGTAGGATATTTAAACATAAGATCCATGGCTTTCAACTGATATTTTTCTTTCATATAAATGTGCTACTAAATATATCTCTAAACCCATTGAACTGAATGGAATGTACACCCACAGTTTAGATTTTTTTTTAAAGATACAATATAATTAAAGTTGAATCCTTTTTACCTCCACTGATTTCCGAATAAGAAAACTGAAGTATGTGTTTAACTTTTCATTGAAATTAATGAGTTAAAATTGTTCATCTGTGACCATTGGCTTTAATAGGGTATTTCAAAGTGATTGCCTTTAGGACTGCAGGCCTAAAAGCTGCTATCGGTGTGCTTTGTTAGACACACCTATTTTGCTCAAAGTTATTCCAAAGGTTTTTAGGAACGTGATATAAAATGGTTAGGAATTGGTGCTTAAAAGATAGCATGAGATGAAAATCCCTAAACTCAGTTTCACACACAGGAGAGGATGTGACCAGTAAGATTTGCTCCGGAGTAGCTCTTTCTGGAAATACTGTAAGTTTTCTATATTACCACCCATTTCCCGTCAAATACCTTCACCAGGCCTCCGAGGAGTTGCAATTAATGAAGTACTTATTAAAGAGCTTCCATGTCAGTCTGTACCAGCAAAAATAACAAAGGTAGCATTTTAAAGACAAACAGTTAGGTGGCTCAAGCTTTTGTAAGCCTACAGTTCATTTCTGAGGAGGAAAATAGATTTGCGGTGACCCATCAGTTTATTTAAATAAAATGGGAAACAATCGCTCGGTGTCGTGTTCACAGCGCAGATTCTACTAACCTGTTAATATGGTATTTCGCTTTCCTCTCTCTCAAAGAAAAAAGTTTTGAGTAAAAAGAGCTGCAGTACAACGAGCGTCGTCTGTACTGCCGTGTTACTAAACAACTTTCTCAAAGGAGGTTCATCGCCTTCAGTAAGACTGACTTCCTCGTAAACAGGCATAAACTTGCAATCCTGTAACAGCCGATTTGAGATTAAGTAAATAGGCGGAGTATGTTTGCTTACAATAAGGCTGTATGAATGCTACCTTTCTTGCATAAACTTCTTGAGCTGTCGGTGGGAGTTCCAAGTAAACATGTTTAGGATCAATCCGATTGTGCACGGGAAAATCCGAGCTCTGGTAGTTAACAAGAAAGAAGATGAACCTTCAGTCTGTTCATCTCCCCTGCGAAACAATAGAAAAAGGCCAGCAACGTGAAACTGACACGGCTTTTTGTTTGCGTGGACAAATCTCTTCTGGGTTTTACGGTAACTTCCGCGGCTCGCTTATCTGCTCCTGTGACGTACTGCTAAAATATTCATAAGTGGCACGTAGTGACCCCTTTGACTCCTCCCCACCCCCACGCCTTGCAAGCAGCGCGACGGTTTGGAGCCCGGCGCCTTCGCAGCAGTCCTCGTCCCCTCCCCGTGCCCAGCAGCAGCAGCGGCTCGGAGTCTAAACGTGCCTGTTGATCTCTTTGATCGCGAACTGAGGACGAGTTTCTCACCCAAAGCGGGCTTAAGGGGAAGCACGACGAAACCTGCTCCCCGCGTAAAGGGGCTTGGATCCGCCGCGGGGCTGCCCAGAGAGCCGGGTGGAGAGCGGCGTCAAACGTCTGGAAAGAGTGGCAGCGAGTCGCCCTTAGGCGGCTGCTCGGGCTTAAATGAGCCTGAGCTCTGCCCGGGAAGAGGTGCAAGGCTGGACTCTATCCCGACTCTTACCATGTCAGGTGGAAAGGAAGGGCGATCATTGCAGGCACGCTTGCTGTTAGCATTCAGGGCGTGGTGGTGTTTTAAAGAAGAGCAGCAGCGGGAGGGGGGACGCGGCAAGGATCGAGGAGAGGATCCGGTAGCAGGATCCGGGTTCCCCTGCCATCTAGAGGGAAGCGCGAACGGCATACGCCTTGAACCCGGAGCGCTGATCCCTTCCCTTTGAGTCCGAGTGCCTCGCCCTGGGGGGAGGGGGTGTCTCCTTCACAGCCCCCAATCATGATAGACAGAGAAGTTGCAAAATGATGCCCGTCAGCAAAATCTTCCGACGACCAGGCATGGGCCTGTGGTGGGGTTGTTCGTGTGTCAGCCCCTTCAACGGAAAGGGACTTGACAAAACTTTCAAGGCGCAATCGCATGCATGTTCATACAGAAAAAAGTCCTACAAGTCCCGGCATGTCCCAGCCATGCATAGGATTGCGCCCTTAGCAGTCGGAGCAGGCAGCGAGGCCTTGTTGGGGTCCGGCCTCGCAGCTGAATGAAATGAAGACTCCTGTTTTCCGGGTCCCTGTCTCCACCCCGGCCTTTAAAGAAAAATGAGATTGAGAAACCTCAGCCCATCTCTTCTGGACGAAGGGAGCTTTGCGAAGCCAGCAGCCGCCGCCCGGTGGGATGGATTGAAAACAAGCCCCCGCTCTTCCTTCTCCATCATCGCCTCTCTTCTGGCGGATTAATTTTAGGAAACGCCCCTCAAAATAAAAGTAACACTGATTACCGCCCAACTGTCTGATCACTTAATCAAGGAACGGGGTGATTTCATCGTCTGCCTCTGTCCGCGGCGAGGATTGGAGGCGATTTTCTTTTTTGAAAGGGTGGAGAGGGCGCGCGCATAGTCGGGGGAGGGAAGAGAATTGGTGCCCCCCCCCTCGCTTATGAAAAGGCAACAATACATGGAGGGAGGCAGCTGGATCCTCCAGGATTTACGGGCTTTTCTCTTGCTTTCATGCAAGCAGGTGTCTTTGGGACTCCCATTGTTTCGGCCCAACCCCCCCTCGGCTAATAATAGGAGCTTCTGAAATGAAAGATCCCTGCGCGCAGCCTTCAAATACTTCAGATGGACCGGCCCCTGCGG